CCAACCAGTGGCTCAGGGACGCCTGGTAACTTGCAACCCTATCTTTAGGTGCCCACCAGCCATGGAAAACATTATCGCCATGAGACAAAATCTTCTAATTCTAATGTAAAAAACAGCCATAAAAAAAGTACACATACACGTCATATACAAGAGTGTTGTATTTGTGTTTACCTACTCACATGCTATCACTTTCACTCTGTCTAGTTTCTATGGTTTTATCTGTAGGGCAGATTAGGGGAGTGTCTGCTTTAATACAAGCACTTTTAGAAGCTGGTGCCACTGCATATCTGCACAAAGGATAAATTATCCATCTGACCATGGCATCAACTCTAACAGTACCAAAGTGATTGAATGTTGAATGTCATCATAAAACCATTCATAAGGATTTCAATGATAAATATCCACTCAGGTCTGCTTTATGCGAAAAGTTCAATCATTGAAATCTTCTCTAAAAGCTCAACAAGGCAGTCTTTATACTCTAAAAAAGAAGAAAGCATCCTTCAAAGTAAATTACATTCTTGCATCACATGAAAAGGCGTTTTCAGATGCAGCCATTGTGAAGGGAGCTATGTTGGAGTACCATTGTCAGAGTCTTTATTTCATGGATTTAAATAAAAATGAAATAATTTTAGCTATAAAAGATTGCACCGTCACAAAATACGGTGTCATGATGAATGAACAATATTGCAAACAACATCTATGTACAAATGAGGTCTGTTTGGGGAAAATGTGCAAATTTTTCCCAGCAGTTTGATGAATCCATTGATGTTCCTGACTTAACGTAAGTTCTGATATTCATGAGCATGATGTTTCCCGACTTTGCCAAGAAAGAAGCATTGTTAACCATGGTGACTTTGTCGAAACACACTCAAGGGCAAGATATATATGAATTGTCAACTTTTTAGAGCTTTGCTCAGTGGGCTAAATAGTGGGCATACAATATAATTCACCATGCCCACTATTTATCCTAAGTAAAGTGACTTAGTTGAGGAAAAGTTTTAACAAGATTTGTTGGAATGCTTATGGAGATTAAGATTATGGAGATTAAGATGTTTTTCTCATCCAAAGACAATTATACCAAACATTGGATAATAAGGAGTGACTTGCTGACTTGGCATTTTTACTCATAAGTGATATCACTGCAAAACTCAAATACCTAAATACCATGTTTCAAAGAAAAACAAAGTACATATCGTTCGATACCTGTTTTTCAGAGTAAAACTGATTTATAGAAGAACAGCTTTTTGGAGAAAGACTGTCAGCATTTCCTGTCATCTGTTATTTATCCTCATTCTAGACTTGGAATTTATCTGGAGTAGATCCCACTAAGCATGCTGAAACCTTCTGTTACTTTACTTAGAATTTAAAAGAAGTTTCCAAGACATGTTTTGTTTCGAGCTCATTTAACTGTTCATAAAAGAAATTTTCTGGGAATTAAGAGATAACAGAAGTGACTTTATTAGTGGAAACATTTTGTATTATTAACAAACTGGAGGTTGATTAAGAGATTATTACTCTTTGTACTGATATAACGCTCCAAAGCACAGGAAAAAAAAAGTGATGAAGTTTTTTCACTTAATGGACTAATAAATTACTTAGATCTGCACTAATAGTGAAAGCATTAAAAATAATAAAAGCAGGTATAGAAATGTATTGACAACATAGCATGTGAAAAACAGTTTGGTGCTGGCATACTGTGTATCAGGATGCACCTAATTGCAATAAGTTGTCAGAATATTAATTATCAAATATCTCATTAACAGCAGGAACGTGACTTAACGAGATATTTGACAATTTAAGAGTTGCATATTCTTGTATTAATAACTAGCCACTACGTGGCCAGCCTTCGTCTGGCTTTTAAAAGTACCAGAAAAATGCCTAAAGAGAACAACCAAACATTAAATTAAAAAATTGCACAGAATTTTACTGTGCAGAACAAAAACGGAAAAACAGAAATTTCAATAAAATTGTATTATATATAAAAAAAATTACAATGAAATAAGCAATATCCCTTAACACAAATATCAGTTATCCTAATAAATAAATTAAACAATTTCCCAATGCAAAATCTTAAGAATTCAAATGGTATAAAGTAATTTAAGAATTTTATTTCCTAAAAAAATCATGCAAAACTTTTTATATAATTAAAATTATGTATAATTAAAACATAATATAAAAAGATTACAATGAAATAAGCAATAAATCTTATATTTTCAAGAGAAAACGTCCAGTATCCAACGCAATGAAACTGTTATCAAAATCACATTTCTAAAAGAATGAAACTATCATCAGAAAACAATAACCAATCAAAATTGCACTTTGTGGATAACATAATTCAAAATATACAAACCTCTTTGCCATTAGCTAATAAACAAAGAGAGAGGGGGGGAAAAAAGAAAATTCTTTCTGTTGTGCCTCATGAGAGACAAGCACATCAGAATAAGAAGATTACGTTGTGCATGTTGTTTATCTCATATTTTCAACTGTCAGCAGTCCAGTATACAAAGCATTGAATGAAAAACTGTTGCCAAAACCACATTTCTAAACAAAGAAACCATTCAAAATGATGCATTTCATCAAAAAAGATTTTTAAAATTCTGATTTGAATTTTGAAAAAAATTACTTCGAGATGCACTGGCTCTTGTTTAGATACACCTATGTACCAAATTCCGTAGCCCTGTTTCTATTAGCTTACGTGCAGCATGAATGAAAAACACACGCTTTCTTTTATTTATATGTAGAGATTATTTTATTGGTGCTTTTCTTTATTTCCCAATTTGAACTAAAATTTGTTTGAAACTACATTACATTTGCATTTTATTAGTGGATTTTCTTCATTCCTTTGCAGGTTCATATTAATTTTTCTTATTATTTGGAAACACAAAATTATCCAGTAAAACGACATATTGTATTTTTACAAAATTTGTATTTTCCAAACTAAAACTCGCTACTGTACTTTAAAATTTCATTGGCATCTTTCAGTTTACCAATTAAACTCCACTGGGTGTCAATCCTTTCTGGTTTTATAACTTTAACCAAATTTTCTAATTGTACACTCCAATTTATAAGTTGCAATATCAATATTATCATCTTTCAAAACTAAATTTAATAAAAGTGGAAATATAATAAAAAAAAATCTCATATCAGAAAAAGATGCATTTGCTAAAGCAGAAATATCTGTAACTTTAACATATAAAATCACTTCACTTGTTGATAGGAAATTTATGTAGTAAGTAATCACATACTCAGTGCAATCAATAACTGAAGATTTATTTTTTACACCCATTTCTTTAATGATTGCAGCCATTTTTGTCCTTGCAGTTCAGCACTTCTTAGCAATTTCACAATCTGAAACATTTCTCTAAATAAAGCTGTAGCTTGATCTTAAGACATTCAGTGGCAGGCTGCACTCCAGCAAAATGGCAAAAAACAGGTATTCTACATTAATAACTTTCTGGTCCTTTGCTTCAACAAAAAAAAAAAAAAAAAAAAAAAAAAAAAGCCTTCTTAATAGAACTCAGGTTAAACTTGTATTTTCCTGTACGAACAAATTTAAGAATATTGGTCCCTCCATCATGCTAAACCAAAAGATCGCAATGATAAATGGTACACATCGCAAACACATCCGATTTCCTTGATGAAATAATAGAAGGAAAATCCTCTGCATATTACTTTTGAAAAGTACATGAATATTTTACCTTTTTTGCAGACATAAGACAAAAGATCACAGTTTCTTAAAACTCAAAACCACACATAACTTACAGTGCTAAGGTATAAGATGAAAGAAATAACAACCTCGATCTTGCTTTATACTCACTGGCTAGTATGCCAGAAGACCATGGTGCTTGATGCTCGTTGGAGAACTAGAACACAAGGTTTTTGGACACATGTTCTCACCACAAAGCAGAAATGCACCATAATGTTTCACTGATGAAACAAATTTGGTTTTTTTATTTGTAATCTAGAGAAAAACTAAGTGCTTTTAGACATGAAAAATACACATAATTTTTTGGATGCAAATAATGAAGTATTTAAAGCCAGCTACCAAAAAAATAATAATAATAATAATAATAATCATGAGAAGTTTTAAGAATAAGAGAAAGTTGGGAGAAATACATTGTAAATTAGGTTGGTGGGAGTATGGTCAGAAATCCGGAATCTCCTGCCTAAATCAGGAGAACTGGCAACTCTGGAACATTTAAATGCTTTTTCATTACCTTTGCCTGTTTTCAGTTTTAGACTCATATTTATGATACACTCTTCAGTAATAAATATGATATCCCAGTGTTTCCCTCTGAAACAACAGAGCTAATCCTATATAACATTACTAAGGGCATTTATATGTATGAACTCATTTCTCCAGACTAAAACATCAAAGAATTTCAATTCCATAAGACTCCTTAAGGTATCACAAGAAACAAAAAACTTCATTTCCCATCATAAGAAACTTCTTCCTGCTTTTTAAAGGATTAGCCAAAGCAAGGAAATGACAAATGAACTGATAGTTAATAACATCAATGGCTAATTGATCAAAAATGCCCAAATGATTATGTTAAATGTATGCACCGTATACATTTAACTTACGAATCAATAACAAGAAAAATTTAGTATTGATGCATGGCAATCTCAAATAAACTGAAACTTGAAACAAAATTTCTATTTTTTAACATTTCAAGATGATATTCTTGCTATATCAGCACAATGCCATTTCTGTTTTGATACAAATTTCCTTCCCCCCAAATTATAACATGCAGTAGAAATTTTTAAAAATATTAATAAATGTCACAATTTTCCATTTGCTCTAGTTATTCAGAAAATGGTTAAATATATATATATATACAATTATATATATATATACACACACACACACAAACCAGACATCCCCATTAAATAAATCAATGAATCCTGCAGGTGAAAAAACATAAACAATATTCTTTATCATAAAAAAAATGATGATGAAAATATTATGAAGATAACAAAGGAATTAAAAAAAATATTACCTGATTAGGAGTTGATCTAACTAATATTTCATTGGCTGTTTTCTGATCTATCTCTTTAATCTTATTATCTCCAGAAAAACCATAGCGTAAATATCTACGCTGATCTTCAGTCATGGAATCAATCAAAAGTGTTATCTTTTTCTGTTTGTCATCTAAATTGATAAATGGATGAATTATGATTGCAGAGCTCATTAAAAATTAACTAACAGAAATACGTTTGAACAATTAGTTTATACAGAGAGACATACAATCATAAAAACTTGTCAGAAAATTTAAGATTTGGGCATGAATGACCTAGGTTATTTCTCAAGCATAATTTTAAGTCTGAATGTCCTTTGAATAAATGCTAATTTAGGAAATAAGGACTAAGTCGCTAGATCTGAATTCCTAGTAAGGTTTCAATGAAACTGACAGCTTTTTATCTTACAAATCAATATCCTAACAAACTCATTTCTCAAAACTAAAAATGAGTTAGTGCAAAAGAACAAATTTGTTTAGTAATACTGAAATCTGAGAACTTCAAACTTACAGTCTAGCATCCTGAAAAAAGTTACCACAAAAAAAAAAAAAAAATTCAACAGCCTATAAAAATCAAAAATTAAAAACTGCAATCTCATCTTCATTCAAATTTAACTTCTGAAACAATTTTAAGCTAGATAGAATATTAATTTAAGAACCAATTTTCGAAAATTCAGAAACAAATACTCCCAATGAGTGAAGTGGCAATGATTTCTATTTCAGCAGGATATGTGCTGTGAAAACAATAACTAATATAAAACATGTTATGTTACTAATACATTTTTTAAGGTGTTAGTAATACAACATAGCATGCATGCAATATGTAGGTACATTCAAACAAATTAAGCAATTAAAGCAATCGAGATTGTTTCACGATCAATTCAAAGCATAGATGGATCAAAATTGAATTCTAAATGCATACTTCAACAAGAAAAAGGACTGCATATGATAAAAAGTAATTCAAACTACTCAAATACTACTTGAACTTTGCTTCTAATACCTACACTTTTCTAAATTACTATCACACACGCATACTGAAAATTATGCTTGTCGATTTAAAATATTATACACATTTCAAGCAATATTTTTCTTACAATATCTTATAAATTATAGGAGGCTTACTTTACTTAGAGGACATTCTGCTAAAATCAGCAACCACAACATGCTTTAAGTCACCTGATATGTTATCTCAGCACTTCAGTTTTAAATAAGTTAAATCTACCATTACTGTTTAATTCCTTAAATAAAATTTACACAAGTAGAAAATAAAAAAAGACTTTCTTTAATTCTATGCCAACTTGCTTGTTCAATAACTTCTGGTTATCTTTGTTGTTTTGTATTGAAATGACTGTATATATTTACTTAAAATTTATTAATTTTACAATATCATTACTGTTTACAAATAACAATGGTCTCAGAACAGTTTTTTTTTTTTTTTTTTTTTTTTTTTTTTTTTTTTTTTTTTTTTAGAGAGAGAGCAAAGTTAAACAAATTTCTTTTAATTTTCAACTCAGCCCTTTAAAAATTAAAAACACTTAATATAACCAATTTCATTCATACTGCATTAAATAAATAAAGACCATTACAAGACAATATCACGTTCAACACATTAGGCACAATTGTTCACTTAACATAAAGAGCAGACAGAATGAGCAACTTTACCGTTTGAATCGGGATCAAAATAACGATAATCATCTTCCGACATACAAAGCAGGTTCCTCATGGATTCACCGAAGCTTCGAGTGGTAAATACAAATACAATTGGTAAACACTTTCCAAAATGAACTAGCATATAAGCAACATCATTTGCTGTTATTAGCACATTATTAAACTTTTCAGCTGAAAAGAAAAGAAAATATATTTTACTAGCTTATAAACTCAAATACATACATAAGCTCTAAATAATTAAAAAGTTTTTTTTTTTTTTTTTTTTTTTTTTTATGAATTACAGTGGCCAACATATATGAAATTCTTATTTTCATCGAAAGTAAAAATGCTGATTGTTTCAGCATGTTTGTCATAGTGTTTTGATGACTGTAAACATGATTATGGAACTGTTCTGAGTAATACTAGCTAAATAAATTGTGTTTTGATTCTTCATCACTCCACGAATTTTAAATGCATACCTAATACCCTTTAATGTAACAATCTACATGCCATTATATTTAAGATATATTTTTCTCTTGTTTTAAATATCTTTTATGCAAGTTAACTGCTAAAAGGAAAATTGGATATATTCTATTTCACATATTAAGTTACAAGTTTCGTGAATTTTTTATTTTACACATTATTTTTATTTATTATTTACTCCTAATTCTTCTTACATATTTTTGCAATGGACTGCAAAACTGCACAAAACTGTGGTTGCTCAAACTCTCTTGTATGAAAATATGCATAAGAGGAATTCTAAAATTTCAATATCAGTCAAAAATCTGCAAGACTTGTTTTTAATACAGCTTGGATTATATGCAAATTCAGAAAGGAAAATGTAACAGAACAATGAATTTGGCATGAAGGATAAAAAGAAACATGGTGAAATGTGCTTTCTAAATACAAAAGCCATTTCTAAAGATATAAAAAATTACTTAAACCTTTATGGGTTTGGAATTATCAGCTGGGACAGAGAAAAGAATGCTACTTAACAATGGATAAAAAAAAAATTGGGGGTCCAAAATAAGGAAGGTTGAAATTAATTTCTATGGTTACAATCTGATATTAAGCTGAAAAGCTTAAAGAATATAATATTACAGAAAAGACTAAAACATGTAAATCTGACTGTAAAATTGATATTTTGTTACGTATGAATGAACACGATTTATTTTGTCACCTTTAATTTTAAATTTCAAATCAGCACAGCATTTCGCTTAAAAATCCCAAATTTTCCAAAACTGCCATAAGAATTTAATTGACCTAAATCCCAAAATGACCTTGCTACCTTACACCTGGATTTAATGTACTTTAAATATACTGCCTTAATTTCTTGCATGTATTTCAAGATGCATGTATGTACACTTTCTTAAAGACATTACAAAAAAAAAATCAAGACCTTGCTAGTCAGGGACATGAACTCGCTAGTCAGGGGGTTAATATCTTACTTTTCATATGTCTGCATATTTTTCATTGATACAAAAAAATCACAGAAATGGTGTTAATATCTTCAAATATGTCGTGTTCTATCCTCTTGATTTGAGAGAACCTCAATCATGTTTATCGATTCATCATGCCCAAAATGTAGTAACTGCTAGCCATTGGTCAAGCCTGTTGGTGCCCTTAAAAGGTGAAAGTTCAACATTTGCCCAGTTTTGTCCCAATTTTATTGATGACTCCCTCTCCTAAACTGATTTAAGGGTCTCTTATCCCTCTTCTGCAACCATCAAGCTCTTGAGAATACCTTCAGCTCAACATTATTTTAAGTGCCCTCCTGATGTACAGACACTGTACACTTACAAGCATCTAAACCATTGTGGGATTCAAGATCAGTCTCAGAGGTATAACAACTAGCTCTCCTACCACCATGCCAACGAAGTGGATCTTTAGATATGTTTCTCAGTGATAAAAGGCATTCTGCATTAAAAAGACATTCCCCCCTCTTTCCATTTTAATAGTAAAAATTGTATTATATTTTAACCACTTGCGCTATGATTAAACTTCACGGTTGCGGTGCTGTGCGCTACAATATAACAAGCAGTAAGTGTCTCATTTACTCCGCTCCGCATCTGCGAGTGCAATCCAGAGCTGCAACTTGAGAAATAAACTGTTTGAAATTAATCATTTCTTGACTTATTTAATAACTTCGGACGAATGGTAATATATTTCGCAGAGAAAATCTTTTTAATTAACAACGAACTTATTTACTTAGCATTCTAAACATTACAAAAAGAATAACATTCCGTGAGTTATCAAGCTCAACGCAATATATAAAAAACATAACTGTTGCCACAAAAATCTACATTATTAAATTATTGTGTATTAACTGAGTTCGTGCATGTTCCTAAACATAAACAATCTCGTTGTTAGGTGATGTGTGCACCACGTTATTTTCATTTTTTGCGATAAATGCCTATCGACGTGGTGTTCACATCGCTCGCGGTTTGAGACAAAAGCGTCTCGACGTGTATGGCACGTCTTTTTAGCGCAAGTGGTTAATAAGAAATTACAAACAGAACTTTGAAAAAAAGTATTTAATCATTTGCTTAAATATTAGAAACATCGTAATTTAAACCAGAAGTAATTAAAAAAATTCATGTTAATGCCTAAAAAATTTTTCTTTTTCTTTATTTTTTAAACCATTTTTTTGATATATATGCTAAACAAAACAATGCATCATATATTAAATGCTCTTTTTTTTTTGTTTGTTTGTTATTAGATTTAACAGAATTTTTTTGCTAAAAGAACAAGAAATTATGTCTAATTAGTTTAACCTTCCAGCACGCGCATATGCGCAAAATTTACGACAAATTCAGTTTTTAATGCACATTTTTCGCATATCGAAGCTGAGACATCTGAAGGTCATTTCTATTTTTCCTTTCTACCCTTCCCCACATCATGAAATGTGCCAACAGGAAGTCATTTGACTTTTTTTTGTTTGAAACTGGGCTTTTTTGTGCTACGTGGCAGCTTTTTCGTAAAAGTTACAACGTGGTTGTGGGTGAAAATTTGGAAAATATTTTTTTCTCAAATATTTTGTAATTTTGTGTTATTAATTGCCATGTATTATTTTAATTTGAATTTATTTGGCTCTGTAAATTTTATATCGTTTTTCGTGGGGGGGGGGAATATGTGCAACCAGCTGATTTTGCTAACATTCTTCAAGAATTATCCGATGAAGAAAAGGAAGATAAGGAAACCTTTGGATGGAAGAACAATAGCGATTTCCATTCCTTATTTTCTTTAATTTCTATTTTTTAGAAATAAATAAAAATATTAAAGTTAGTTTTAAGTCTGTTTTAGTGACCAGTAAGAAGTAAATTTCCTTGCAGAAGTAGGTAATGCTAAACTTACTTTTTTTCCTACCAAGGTGTTTTTTTTTTTTTATTTGTCTATACTTGCCTTTGATGAATATTAAAATAAGCTTCGATTTTAAAATATAATTATTAAGTAATACATTTAAAATTTTCTATAATGAAATACATCATCAGATTTCCATCTCACTTACATAAGAACTTAAAAATAATTTACTTATATTTGAATGTGATATCATTTGTAAGATTAATATTTTATTTCTTAACAAATTTATTATCAATATTCACTCTTTTCTGTCATTTTTCGTGCCAAAAATGGTAAAATAATGGATGTCGTAAAAAATACGATGCATGCGTGCTCATGTAAAATTGCCAGGTGCACGTGAATAGGTAAGACGCAAGGTTAAAGATTTTTTTCAAAAATTATTTGATAATAATGTTGATTCCACATATAGTTTTGTCAAAGATATAATAATAAGCATGAACATAAAACACAAAATCTTTATTTTAATTGAAGGAGGGGGAGGAAGGCCTTGGCATTTTTAAAATATGAACATCAACAAAAAATGAACAAGGAAAAAAATTAATTTACGTTTTTAATAATAAAATTAATTTAGTTTTAGAGCAAATCTGTCTAAATTTCATGCACATTTTTATCAAGCAGCTAAATCAAAGTATGCATAAAATATTTCATACATATAACATCAAAATAAAAGAAAATCCTATAACATTTTAAAATTTTCAGTTGTCAAATATGCAAAATAAATAAAACACAGATAACATTTTCATTGTAAAATTTAATTTATTGATATTGTGTTTATATTTTAATATATATATTAAGTTTCTTGTTTAATTTTTTAAAAATTATTTCAAAAGTTCATTTTATTATTTTGCTGCATTCTTAAATGCTGATGTCTCTGCTCTACAATTTTTAATGTATTCCTTGAGACATACTACAAAAACACAGCATGGAATAGTGGATGCTTTATTTATCAGATTTAATTAAAGAAAACATTTTCGTCATGCCAAATGACAAAACAAAAAATCTAACTGGCTTTTATTCAAACTTAAAAAATAGTAATAAATAAATGAAAAATAACTACAATGTTATCAAAAGTATATTAACAAATATGCACAGAAAATTTGTAACCTCTACCATAATTATGAAAAAAAGCCTTAATATTTTTAAAACATGAATGATGAAAACTAACAATGTCATTTAGCTTTCAACAACTTTAAAAAGACTCTTTAAATGGCTGCCATTGAACATAAAATAATGTAAAAATCTTAATAACTTCTGATATGGTAAATCGGTCGCAGACACTTAGCCGACGGGACACTTAACCGACAAGACATGCAGGGGGACATGGACGCCCACACGGACACTTAACCGACAAGTCATTTAGCTGACAGGACATTTAGCCGACAAGGAGAGTTAGCCGTCAGGACATTTATCTACGGAACAATTAACTGTCAAGACATTTAGTCAACACTAAGCCGACTATGAAGTTTAACTGACATGTACCCAATAATTATTTAAATTTACAATCAATTCCAAAATTTCTCGACTTCTCCATAAGTTCAATATTTAAGTTATTTTTTTCACTTATCAGTAAAATTCAGTTTTCGATTTTTGAAGATCTCATACGTGCTTTAAATTATTGTGTCAATTTAATATTATTTGATATGTATTGTGCTGTTTGGTGTATATTGGCCAAATTGAAAAAGCGCTGAATTTTCTCGTCAGAGAATATGAATTAAATTTCGAAAGGGAAAATGAATTTTTTTTAGCTAAGTACGATGGTCACTTAATTACATTTTAACATGGTATCTTCAAAAATTATCCGTAATGCTTTTTCATTTAATCAACTGGGTTCT